AAAAAAAAAAAAAAGGACAGTAGGGGAACGAGTACATTGGGGCAGGTCGGGCAGAGAAAACTCATGACCAGACGCTCAGAGCTGTGTCTCAAGTTTGTAAACTCAGCACTGAAAGAAAAAGGGGAGAAACCGACTTCTGTTGGGTGTCTAATTTGTGCCAGTCACTGTGTAAAAACCTTCATAGACAGAATCTCACCGAACCCTCACGGCCACTCTGTTATCCCCACTTTACAGATGGGAAACTGGAAACTTAACTAAGGCAACGCTACATAGCGATTAGCTACATAGCGATTAAGTCGCAGAGCCAGAATCCAAACACACTCCAGAATCCAAACACACTCGGGTCTGATTTCAAAGACGTCTACTCTTGCCAGGGATATGCTAAGTTAGTTCCTACAGTTCTTCTTCTAGGCCTTAGGAAAACATAAATGAAATTTATTCTGCACATTTGTCCCCGGGAACGCAATCATGAAATGTTACAACGAGAAAGGACTAAAAAACAAACAAAATCACCAACAGAAAAAAAATACACATCTTATTAAATGGAGCATTTACCAATAACAACACAAAACGCAATTGGCACTGGGGGATGTAACTTGGATTATTCGAGCAGGTAACAGTGTAGCAGGAAGCCAGTGCAGAAGATATCAAAAAGGAATAAAAACAGAAAAGACATGCATGTGACATTTAGTTGGATCAGCCTGGGAAGGAGCTCAGACAGTATTGCTGAGATAGTGAGCAGCTCTCAGGGCACTGGAGGCAGCGTGACCCGCCCCAGGCTGAGGGCTGTCCTCCCTTGGGAGGGGTCTCTAAATGCACGTGTGTTTTTAAAATTTCTTAAATAAAACCAAATGGCTGTTGCAGCAGCCAGAGCCAAACTGAGGGACGTTTTCTTTCTTGCTGAAGGTTACTCTTCCATTCCCATATTCTGGCTCTCCGTACAGAGGAAAAATTACATGAGAACTAACTGGATTTGTGATATAGTGGCATCATTCCCTGATGGAACAATGATTCACACTAGGAAACGAAGTGTAACAGAGCACACTACATCATTAGTCGCAGGTTAGCATTAGTGGAGGTGGCAGAAGTAAAAAAAAAAACAAAAAACACCTCTTCCATTCCCATATTCTGGCTCTCCGTACAGAGGAAAAATTACATGAGAACTAACTGGATTTGTGATATAGTGGCATCATTCCCTGATGGAACAATGATTCACACTAGGAAACGAAGTGTAACAGAGCACACTACATCATTAGTCGCAGGTTAGCATTAGTGGAGGTGGCAGAAGTAAAAAACAAAACAAAACAAAATCGATGCATGGTACTTAATGACACTCGAAGAATATAAGCATCTTAGAAGCAAGGGAAATGATAAAAATAGTTATAGAGTAAAACACGGAAAAATCATTTCGAGCGACGACAGTGGAAACGGTAGGTGAGGGTATCTGCAAAGCCACGCCTCCTAAAGCAATGTGAACCTTGACAGAAATGGTCAGACCCAACTATTTCTGGGCTCTGGAAATTAGCCAGCGTTCTGTAGCGATCCCGAGTGCATTTCATCAAGGAAGATGGCTGAAGCTCTGTAAAAGCAGAGAGCGCTGTGGCATTTGAACTTGCCCTGTTCCCAGCCCCACCTCCCAGCTCCACAGCAGCCTGGAAGAGTGATGGCCCACAATCGCAGTGGAAAGAAGAGTCTGCCAAGCGTCGGAGAGGTGGGCTGCGGTGCCTCCGCAGCCCTGTTCCTAGAGAACTGTCACTAACTGACCTCTTGGTTCCCTGGAAGACCCCTCTCGCAAGGCTGTCTGTATCTAGCCTGACTCGGAGGTCACCCATGCAAACTAACTTTTCACTGAGACCATCTGTTGAAAAAAAAAAAAACCAAACAAACAAATCAGAGGCAACTGTTTAAGATTGGGGCTGCCTAAGGTGGGCAAAAGGCTAATCAAAAAGTTTAGAGAGAAAAGCTAGGGACAGAAACGTTCACAGGGGTTCCGACGTGTCCAGGCTGCGTGCACGCACAGGAAACGACTGAGCAGGCATTGAACTTGCAGTTTCTGCTGACGCTGACGCTCTGCGGAAGCAGGAAATGAAGGCTAAGGAGGGACTGTCAGCCGCCTGGGTGCTGAAGGTGTGCCCCACCATGCACAGAGAGCCCCTCGGAGAGACTGGGAAATTTACCGGTTACAGGCATTCAAGGAATTCTCTGTCCAATCACTAGCTGACCAGTAAGCTGAGCAGAGATTCTGCAGAATTAGTTTAGAAAGGTCACTGAACAAATAACAAAAAGCAATAACCAATCCTGGAAAGTGAGAAGAATCTGATTTCCAGAGTTGCCATGTTATATTATTTAAACTGTGCAGTGTTCAATATAAAATTTTAAAAACGTGAGTATGGCCCACACACAGGAAAAATAGCAGTCAACAGAAACTGTCCCCGAGGAAGCCCAGACATTGGCCTTAGCACTAGACAATGACTTAAATCGAGTGTTATGTGTATGTTCAAGGAACAGAGGAAACCGTGTCTAAAAAACTAAGGGAAAATATGAGAATGACGTTTCACCAAATAAAAATGTCGATAAAGAAATTATAATAAAGAAACAAACAGAAGTTCTGGATTTAAAAAGTACAATAAATGAAATGAAGAATTCGCAGTAGATTTGAACAGGCAGAAGAAAGAACGGGTGAACCCGAAGGTAGGTCAATTGAGGTTATGATTCTGAGCAATAGAAAGAAAAAGCAATAATTTCTTAAAAAATGGCTAGAACCTCAAGTTCCCGTGGGACACTATGAGAATATTAGGTATGCAGGAAGGGAGTCCCAAAAGGAGTCAGAGAGAAAGGGGCAGAAAGACTACGTGAGGACAAAATGACCACTATCTTCCCAAGTGTGACGAATCTTGAAAGCAGCAAGAGAAGCATCCCATCACCTAGAGGTGACCCTCGGTAGACTGGCAGCTGGTTACTCTTCAGAACCATGGGAGCCAGAGGCCGTGGATGACATATTCAAACCGTTAAACACAACACAACTACCCCCACCAAAACCTCTCAACCAACAAGTCTGTATCCAGCAAAACAATCCTTCGAAAACAGGAGAACCGAAGACATTTCCAGATAAACGAAGAAGAGTCTACTGCTGGCCGATCCGCCCTACAAAAAATACTAAAAGAAGTTTTTCGGGCTGATAAGAGAGGACAGTAACTCGAATGCAGGTTCTCCGATCATAATTAATTCAAAATGGATGAGAAACAAATGTAAGAGCTACGACTATAAAAGGCTAAGAAGAAAACACAGGTGTAAATTTCCGTGACCTTGAATTTGGCAGCACTCCAAAAGAATAAGCAAACAAAGAAAGAATTGATAAACTGGACTTCATAAAAAATCAAACCTGTTTAACCTTCACAGGACACAGGAAAGTGAAAGGTCAGCCTATGGAAGGAGAAAAAATACTTGCAGATCATATATTTAATGAGAGTCCAGTAGGCAGAATATATAGAGAACGCTCACAACTTACGAAAGAGAAATCGTCCAGTATAAAAATGGGCGAATGATGCTGAGCATCTGTTTGTGTGCTCACTGGCCATTTAAATATCTTCTTTGGAGAAATGATCTATTCCAATCCTCTGTTCGCTTAAACTTGACTTTTATTGAGTTGTAAGCATTCCGTATGTGTTCTGGATACTAGACTTTTAGCAGATACGCGATTTGCAAATGTGCATCTGCTTTTTACATTACAGATGAGAAAAGGGTGCCAGTAGGCGTAACTTCCCTCCAAGAGAAAATGCGAATTTAAGATAACAATCTTGCCTCGGCCCACCCTTACCCCGAATGGCTCCGACACCATCTGATGAACTAGAAAAGCTCTCAGCATGGAAAACGGCTTCTTTAAAAGTTCTCTCTATGTTGTACAAACTTTTTACAATACTGTTAAACTGTAAGTTTTTTAAGAGGAAAAGAAAAATGGTTCTGAACCTTGCTGTAAACTAGGACATAAATGTTGTTTAATAACAATGACAAAATTTCCCATCCCCGTAAGCTTTCAACGTGAAATTGTTGGGGGGAGGCAGGGACGATGGGCAGAGCAGGCAGGGTGGGGTGGGAGTGGGGGCGTCCATGGTGCTGGGCAGAAATGCACAAAGCAATTTCTAAAATGTTATACACTACTTCTTAAAAGCTTTATTTCTTCTTTCGAAGTTGAGCGTTCTCATGTCTTTTAAAATTCTTCATTGCTTTACTAATATATCATCGGTTGATAACTACTAATTGCATTTATAACACATTCATCTTTCATAAACACTTTACTCTGAGCTGCAGGAGGAACCTCGGCTGTTCTCACCCTGAAGCAGAGTTCTTAAGAGCAGAATTTTCATTCAAACAGGGAAGGTAATTTTCAACTCAGAATTACCAGATTCACGCAAACTACTCCTAATGCTCTATTTCTACTAATAATGAAAAGATTTCCGAATCCTATGAATCCAGGAACAAAGGCAAAATAATCATATTACTGTTGCTGGTGCTAAAATTCTAGAGATTTCGATGAAACATACCAGTGTCTAACGAACGAGTAACACTGTGTACAGAGACGCCCAGTTGTAAAGATCGTATTGTGTCTACGATATCACTTGTTGCTAGTTTGTGTTGGTTTTAAAACTGCGGACACTTTACCTCCTCCCGTCACAAAGTGAAGCCTCTGTCCCCTCGCCCGGAATCTCAGTGGACTGCTTCACGCACAGTAACGGCATGAGGGATGCTATGTGACTTCGAGGCTAGGTCACACAAGACCACGTGGCTTCTGAAGAACACTGAGTGCCATGTAAGAACTTTAATACCCGGAGGCCACCGTGCTGGCGCGGCCACTGTCAGGCTCTCCGGCCGAGCCCACGCCTCAAGTTATCTTCATCATGGCGCCAGACGTGGGAATAAAGAAGCCATTTTGGAAATGGTCGTCCAGTTCCGGCTGCTGCAGTTCCTGGGTTTCAGTTCTTCTCAGCTGTGGCCCACATGTCACCTAACAGAGACAAGCGTCCCTGCTGTGCCCTGTCTGAATCCCTTACTCACGGAATTTATGAGCGGAATCAAATGCTTGTTTTATGTCACTATATTTGGGGCAGTTAGTTTCTCAGTAATGGATAACCAGAACACAGGTTAACAATTTAATTGAACAAATATTAGGTGAGTGTCACCTTTGGGCAAGGAAATTCAAAGACGGGTAAATACATGGTTCTGGCCCCCAAAGAATTTACGACCCAGCAGTAGATTCCAACCCGCTATCAGCTCGCAGAGTTCTTAACAGCCAGAACGGCGTCTGGCACATAGTAGATAATAAATATTGGCTGAATGGACAAATGAACTACATACTGTTTAGGGCTGAGTATTGGACAATAAACATCTCTACCTGAATTTCAACATTTTTAAGGGAGAGACTAGAGAAAGGTCAGGCTGTTCATCATACATCTGTTCAAATGGGATATAAATATCCTATTTTATAATTTACCTTTTTATTTTTCATAATCAAGAGTTACTCTTAGCTGTTTCTATCAATCGAGTCACTTACTTTTTCAAATCATTCACATTTTTTAATGCCTTTCACAATATAGGCCTAAGACACTTTGGAAATGATTAAATTAGTAGCTCGAATATTAATAAGCACGTTTAAAAATGGAATTTTCAGCTAGACATAATTGCTTAGCCTTTATCGACCTATAAATGAAAGGACGTTGTGTAATTCCCAGGTTTTTACATCATCAACCTAAATAGCTTGATAGAAAATACTAGAACTTCATCTACACACAGGCACACGTCAGAGACACTGCGGTTCAGTTCCAGACCATGGCAATGGAGCGAGCCTCGTAATAAAGTAGGTTGTAATATTTTTGCTGGTGGAGGGTCTTGCTTTCAATTTGTACAAAAACAAAAAACAAAAAAACCCCCCAAAACCAAACCCTCTCCCGCCAAAGAAACTCAACATCTGTGAAGCACAATAAAGCGAAGCACAATAAAACCAGTTATACTTGTATTAAATTCTCCTATTATTTTAGTTAAGTGAATATTCCTAAAAATTTGTGAAAATCTTAATTCACTGCTATCAAAATAATTAATAACTGAATTGGGACTCTGTTCAGCTCCTCTAACATCCCGTAACTGATGTTCGTAAAAGAAATCTATCCCCTAAAAAGAACAGTTCTACTGAGAGAAATAAGAAAACCTACAATATTCTTCGTCGTCCGTCGTAACTGGGCCTGACCGAGGCCAGCACGTTCAGAGTTCGCTGTCGGCTTCCAGGTCTCTGCCACCGCGTTCAGAGTCTATGCCTGCTGGTGGCCGAGAGGCAGAGACCTGAGACCACGTGCCTTTTCAGAAGTCTATATATCCATCCTGCACTTTCTCTTAGCTCTTATTCTTACACAATTTCTCTGTAAATCTTCATGTTTCTTTTAATAACACGTTCTTTCTCACTTATCTTAATCACGTCTGATTAGTACACTCATTTGATCACACTGACACTCAGTGTTACGACACGCATGCTCGTGTGAGTATGAAACTCTTCCTATCACGTAGCAGTGGAGAGCATGGCTCAAGCTGTGGTAAGGTCAGCGTGGTGTCCTAGAATGGCGAATGAGAATACTTATGCTTAAGTCTAACTATGCCTTGAACTGGCTCTAAATCTTTGACTCAGTTTCCTGATTTGTAAAGTGAGGGGATTAGATTAGATAATCTCCTCTTATTCTATGATCTCATGTGTGAGTAAAATGGCAAGCTCTTCTACACCTTGTCATTGATATATATATAAAATACGTGTAAGTATAATAAACTTAGTGTTATTTCTAAGTCTAATATATTGTACTATGCATTGTTTCACAATCAAAATTACTCCGGCTTTTTTTAAGAGAATTTTTCTAAGAGTTTATTTGAGCCAAATTGATGACATATGCAAAATGACTCTCGCTTTACACAAGTGGTTTAACTTTGAAATTTAGAAATATATGTATTTATTTCTGTCATTTTATGTGATCCTACCTACTTGACATGAGATGTATTTTAATCCTTCCTAAGGGTGTCAATAATTTTAAAGATCGAGAATTTTACGAAAGTCAAATGATAAAACTCACTAAACAATCAGCAAACTAAATTATTGAAGTTTTAAAAAGCCTTTGTTAGTAGAACAAAATAACCACTAAATGTCTAAAGTTTCCACAACCCTAGTTCTTGTTCGGTCTCATACCGGAACACGGCCTTTATATCAGCAAATAAAATCATATATACTCGTTTTCCCCGTTTCAACAAAATCATCACTTTTATTGGCTACAAAATATCCCATGAGTTGCTATACTATCATACTTTTAACTCTTCCCCTACCGTTAATTAGATGGACTCCAATTTACTGAACTGTGCACAATGTTGCAGTGAATGTCTGTATATACAATTTTTCCTTCTTTGGGGTTATTTTCTTAGGATAATAAGCTTGATGAAAGCATACTTGCGTCTACGGTTTTTGAAACGAAGTGCCAAACTGCCTTGCAAAAAGGGTCTATCATTTTAGAGTCTACCATGTTTCCGTACTCGTGTTTTTGATATATTTTAATAAAGCTAAACGCTATTCCGTACGACTTATTTATTTATTGTATGTCCAGTTTTTGTTTGTTTGAACACCTTTTACTTCTCTTTCTTGCAAGTTTTTTGCTTACCTGTTTTTAAGATGTGCCTCCAGGTCACAGCGCTGCATTACATCTTGGCACACTGAAGAAAACGGACATGACACTAATAATTTGTCCAGAAGTTTGTGAACTAGAATACTAGACTTCTTACACAACTTAAAGTGAAGTCTTTTGCGGTCCAAGGGACAGAAATCCTTCTCTTGTAAGAAGTTTCGGAGGCACTTGCAGCAGAATGTATGTCCACAGGGGGTATCTAGTGGCTGCAACAGAGGCTGAAGGCAAATGTGGCAGACTAGGTCGTCGTCCACTTCGTCCTGGTAATTGTATAAGTGGTTTTCCCTCGTCCAGTGCTGCTGGCCACATTCGAAGCACAGGGGGTTGAAGGAGGAGGAGGAGGTCTGTTCCACAGACACCATCTCGTCACTTGTTGTTCCCATTTTGAAGCAGTTTCTGGATTTTCACACGTTCGACTCCCACTTCCGGTTGGGTTCCCGTCACTAGACAGTGATGTATCAGACTAAAACGAACCAAAAAAAAAAAAAAAAAGTAATTAATATCCATCGAGATAGGGCTACAAGCATCAACACGACGTTACCGGTTAACATCTTCTTTAGTAAAAAAATTAAAATTTAGATCAGGTAATAAATTAGTCATAAAAACATCAATGTGAAATTAACTAATTTGCTAGTTGGCTAAGAATGACTTACACTGCCAAGTTTGCAGTAAAAAAAGAAACTGTGATTAAAAGGAAAGATGCCATATATTATATGGTGTGACATAAGAAACAACCAATTTGTTTTACTGACTGAAATCCCAATAACTCACTGCTCAATGGCTGTTTTAGAACCAATTAATGTACATAGTATGCTAATAATGCAATTTGAGGTACAGTACCTAATACATTTGCACCGGCAATCCCAGTCACGGTTCTTTGTCTCTGACTGATTTTATGCATTTATAGGACTAAACCAAAATTGTATCTTCGAAATGTAGTCTCAAGGATAATTTGGTGTGTTAAAAAAAAAAAAAAAATGACCTTTGCTCTGCACTGTTTGGAGAGAAATGGATTTCAAAATATGTATAATTTGAATATTCTCTTTATATATAACAGATTACAGGAAGATAGATCTGCATAACGTATATAAATAACATCTGCGCAAACTCCATAAAATATAATACTATTTTATGCCATCGAGAGAAAAAAACCTGCTCTAATTCAATTAAACAGATAAGACCTGCTATCAGTTTCAATTCTAGCTCGTATTATTCCATGCTTCCATTTGTTTGGGCTTACTCAGAGCAGCCGTGTGTGTGTGCGTGTGTGCGTGTGTGTGTGTGTGTGTCCTCTCCAACACAAGACTCTTACAGCAGCCTACCCCACCCCAGTTTAGTGCAGGCCCACCAAGGAACGCCCCCTGCAGATAAGGTTCCCACACTCCTGCCGCCGCATCACCAGGGGTTAAAAAGTCAGCTCTAAAGGCAGCAGCTGTCTGAACTCATTCTTCTGTAAATATTTACAGTATCTAGTATGTGCCAAGCACCGAGCAAGGGCAGATGAGGCGTAGGGAGAGGACGGTTAAGGAAATCCATTATTAAAATGCAGTGTGATGAGTTCTCTGGAGAAGGTGATGCGCAGGATGCATTGTGAATACAGAGAAAGACGAGGAGAACTGGCATCTATCTAACTCAGTTTGGCTTTGTGGCCGGAAATACTTTCAAAAGGAGAAAAAATACAGACTGCTGAGTTGTGACAGGAAACACAAGCCAGAGAGAAAAATGGACAAGGGCATCTCAATGCTAAGTCACAGGAACCTGAAGGGGACTCGGGGCAGAAAATGTACTTGGGGCAGGGGAATTAGAGGACTCAGCGTCCCCGCCCCAAGGACAGAGAGGTAGGATCCCATGTTAACGCTGCCAGCATTTGCTTCAATAATAACATTCTCCTCTCGTCGCATATATGTATTTGCTATTTTATTTACTTGGCATATTTAACAGAAAAACAACATGAACATTTTAACAGCTTTAACAAGAACTGCCATGAACTACGACGGGGGTGGGAGGGCCAGGATTCGGATGGAATGACCTCAGGTCAATTGTGTGGTTTTAGAAACTGCTTAATAAAACGACAGGAAGAATGTGGACTATCAGCAGCAATGGTAAGAGAGCAAACATTCCTTCTATTTTGTAACTCCTGGGGCTTATTCTTTACCCTCTGAGCGTTGGAACCTTTTCAAGGTCAGGGGCAAGGTATGTAAGATCAAGGAGAGAGAAACACCGTTTAGCTCTGGCAGACTGCTGCTTCAACCCAGGTACGTCGACACAGAAGGCCCACGGATGCTTGCTTCCTGCACATTCAGGAAAGAAAGTTCACATGCCCTCTGCTCTCCTTTGTGACAGTGGTTATTCTAATTTTTCCTTTCCTCAAGAAAATATACTGCAATTCTAGCCGCCCACATAATGACTAGGAAAGCATTTCTCCTAAGACTATTATGTTTTAGCTCTTTTTTCAATCTCTAAATAACTTTCAGTTCTTTGGTTATTTTCATTTTATCACAAAATCTTTTCAAGAGGAAAAAAACAACATGTTCTCACTTTAAATACCCAATCATTGCATATCGCCAGCCCCGAAATACTTCTGTTACCACGAAACAGAGGAAAACTTATCACGGGCAGAGCATGTGCGTATTAATGCTGATTGAGGGGCTGCGAGACCCCACCACATTAGCAGTCACTCGGCAGCCAGTCTGTGAGGGGTCAGATCCTCGCCCAGGCACTTACTGGCTTTGTGACCTTACTAAATGTATTTCTTTCCCATATGTGAATTGGGGGTAAATACAGTGCCTATCTCAAAGGGTCGATATAAGGAATAAATAAGCACGTGTGTGTGTGTGTGTGTGTATATATATATATATGTGTGTGTGTATACATAAATACGATATCTATATCTATAGATATAGATATAGATATATATGTGTGTGTGTATACATAAATACACACATCTTCAAACATTGCCTGACACATGGTAGATGCTCTAGAAGCGTTGGCTATTATCACTATTGCTGAAGGAAAGAAACGAAAGTTTAGACAGATTTTAATTTGCCCAAAGCCATGCAATTTATAATCGCTTGGTAAGAGAAGGTAAATGAGTTCCCTCCCGCTTCACATTAGCCTGGCGGTGAATGACGTAATTGCAGGACAGAGGCGGGTATCCCCTGGAGGCTTCGCTGTGTGAGGTTCGTAAGGACAGGGGGAGCGGGCCCTGCTCCTCCGAGCCCCGATCCCGTTTCTCTATTCTCGACCCAGGGAGGATGAGTTTATTTCTCCTGTGTGCGAGCCCACTGTGACACTGTACACTACTCACTCACACCGTTGTCCCTCCCCAGACTATGAGCTCTCTAAGCTGGACGTCCCACAGGGGAGAAGCTCAATAAATGCTGAATGACCGCCGGGTGACAACACGCTTGCTCACTCTTGGTTAGTTTAGGTGACCAGAAACATGTCTATGTAAACAGGAGGATCTGCCCACGTTTACACAATTCTGATTTCGGATATTCTATAAGCACAGTTTGAAATATGAAAATACAGGTCAAATACATAATTGCCTTAAATATTTCCCCAAATATACAATGTAGCGCAGTGGGTACGTTTACAAACTACATTATCCGTTTATCTAATATTCCAGGAAGAGTGAAGAGACAGAAACTATTAAATTGGCTGGGAATATTACGACACATTTTAAATAATGTCTTGGAAAGGAGCCAGAGCAATGGAAAGGGAGTTAGAAATCACCGGTTACCACCGACGCCGTCAGGATTTACGGGCCTGCTCTTGCTAATCTGCAGTACGGGAGCATCGAGACTTTCAGAGAGAGTTATGGTTTCACCACTGATTGGCCCACTCCGAAACTGTATGTCCTTCGGGTCATTTCTCTTGACGTCACTTCTGATCCAGGTGGAAGGGTCCCAACGGCCCTAACCTAGGAGATCCAGTGCAGGGAAAAACGACAGCGAGCCCAGCATTACCACCGACGCACGGTGAGGCGGGAAACGGCTTTGAGTCCTCGAGGCCAAGAGTCTGAGGACATCCTCTCCTCTCGTGTCCTCCCGCCAGCTCCTGCTCGCTCCTTCTGTCGCAGCTCAAACCCTGGCGGCCCCCTCCTCCCCGGGCACGCCTCCCCGCCCCGAGGCTCCTGTCGCTCTCGCACACACCTACATCCCACAGTGGCTACATCTGCCGGCTTGTCACCATCTTCTCATCTCTCTGAGGGCAAAGACATCAGTGTCTTCTTTACCTCTTGCATCCCCAGTTCTTGGCACATGTTATGCACTAAAAAAAATTTGTTCTCAGGCTCCTGCGTGAGCCTGAAATGTAGAAGAGTTCTGAAACACATAATATAATTATAGAAACGTGTAAGAGAAAAGCAAGCACACTTATCTGGGGCCCTGCAAAGCAATCAAAACACTGGACCTTGCCCTGTGATTGCAAACAAAGAATAACATATCACTCTCTTTAATCTTCAGAAGTCTCAGGGGAAAAAGTTTCTTTTTTTTTTTTTACTTGATATCACACAAGAAAATTTGGATTATATATTACAAATCAGCTTTGATAGCTGCCTTTGCCTCAAGCAGTGGTTGTCAAACTTTTACAGCTAAGGATCCCTTTATCCACTCTGGACAAGCTCGGCATTTCTTAAAAAGGAACACGCAACCTAGCAACCAAACTCCTGAGCGTTCGCCCCACAGAGATGAAAACCGATGTTCGCAGGAAAACCTGTACAGGCTTCACTGAAATACCCCCAATTAGAATCAATCCAGATTGTCCTATAACAGGTGAACAGTTACAGAACTATGGCACATCCATACCATGAAATACTACTCAGCAGCGAAAAGGAACAAACCACGGATAAACAGAACGACCTGCCCAAATCTCCAAAGAATTTCGCTGAGTGGAAAATGCCAATTCTAAAAGGCTGTATACTGCATTATTCCATTTATATAACATACTCGAAATGACGATGCAATTAATTCATTAAAATGCTTTAAATATTCATTTGTTAATAAAACTACAAACTCATGTTAACATTTCTATAAAAAAAAAACTTTTTTAAAATAAAAAATATAATGAGAAAGAGAGGCCCTGTTTTACATTTTTGCAAATCTAGAGCCTCAAATCCGTTTCTGGTATCCTCTAAAAAAAAAAAACCTCCAAAAAAAAAAAAAGCTCCACTGGACATTCATGAGAGAAAGTGAAAAGGGCAGGCAACGCCTTAGGAAAACAGTTTTGACCTTGTGGACCAATGAAAGAGAACCGGGGGTCCTGGGTCACACTCGGAACAGCTGGGGCAGAGCGCTGAAGGGCTGCGACGGCCTTCTCTCGTAAGCAGCAGCACCGGAAATAACCAGAGCTACTTTTAAAAAACACAAAACAAAAAAGACAAAACGCTGAGATGAGTCCATGCTGGAAGAAAGCACAGAGTCTGTCTTTCCTGGAACAAAGTTTTTTCCCCTGAGGGCTTCT